CCCTTAACCAACAGTGCATTTATTTTAAACAAAAAAGTAAGAATAAAACAACAACTACATGGTTTGCTTGAGCGACTGTGAATGGTTTGCTTGAGCGACTGTGATTCATTCAGTTGTGATTAAGTTGGATGTTTCATCTGTCTCATTCAGGTTGCTCATTTGATCAGCATGATCAATCTGTTTGATTCAATTGTTTTGTCTGAATCGTTTTGTACAAGACTGGTTTTATTGGACTTGCTTGAGTTTGCGAAAGCAACTCTTTCATCTTGGTCAACTGGTCTGACTCAATTCGTGCATTCAATTAATCGGGGTCACTCGGTTGGTCATTTGGTGTATTTGTTCAATTAATCTGATTAATTTGTTCGTCCTGCTGGTCATTCTGTCTGATTCATTTCGGCTAGGGCAGCTGCTTGTCTGTGTGGGTGATCAGAAAAAAACAAGAAATCCTGCAAATAATAGCCTTTTCTGTGTTGAGGAAGTGTCAGGAAAGGGACTATATTTGAGGTCGCTTGAAGCTTCTATCTCTGGTGGAGAAAGGGCATGCCCAATCTCGCATTAGGAGGAGAAGAATCGATGGTGCATGAATTATCATTGACATACTTAGTGTGGAACAATTCACGTTACCAGGAGGGGTATGATAAATCCTGTTGGAGGAACAGGTCACGTGTACCGGTATGATAGTATGACGTCTACACATTGTATTTCGGCCAATCTTTTAGGGTTTGTTTCGGTCATTATATTTGGAAAATTTAGAGGGGATGTAGGATTATGGTAAAATTGACCATAGTAAAATGATACATTTGGGCCCTTTTATAGAATAAAATATTCCTGCAGGTTATACAAATAGTGATTAAGCGTGTTTGAGAACAACATTGTGTGAATGTGATATGAGAGGGGTATGAATGTGGAAAATGAGTCGCACTGTGAAGTTTGAATAATAAGATATAGAAGTGTGTATGATAATTTGATATAAGTTTGGACAATAAGCTTTGATATAATGTTATCTTGGGGTTCCGTACAACACTGCCCATCATATTATATCGCGGGATGGTATTGAGAGCGGGATGTTAGTTTAGGGAGTAGTGACCAGTCTATAAGATTCTGGGAGGATCCTATGACGGAGGGGCAGGGTCCAGGTAGCTAAAGTTGTTGTTCCACTGGGAGTAGATTATGATAAGCTGATTTGTGGCAATGGAGAGTCATTAGAAACGCAAATGGTTTGGGTGATGTGAATATATGAAAATATGATGAATTTTTATGTGTGTGTAATTGGGATATTTGCGGGTATTCTTTGTAATTTCAATAGCATTTAGCAGCTTGCTTGGTTCAAATGGAAAGACTCACTTATTCAACATGAATAGCAGGACGATTTCGAGGTAGTCGTTTTTTTTGCCTTGCCTAATGGTTTGCTAGCTTAAACTACTGTGAATGGGGTTGGAATTTAAAATATTGAATCAAATATGGATATTAATTGAATATATGCTTGTCAACTACAGCAAGTGTTTGTTTTGTTACCTGTAGCCTAATCAGAAAGGACAGTTACCTAAATCTACTGACTTCTAATAATAGCGGATTGGCAATTGCGATAGAGCTGTGGCCATGATCTTAATTGATAACATGAATTTCAAAAGCCTAACCTGCTCTGCTAGGGTGAGCGGAGTTGTAAGTCTAGAAGTAGCTAGCAAGCTAGCTACCTTTAGCCAGTTAGCTTGGGAGCTTGATTGCCTTTGTGAGAATCAAGGAGAGGGGATATTAGGTAACATTGAAATTGGCGGTATGTATGGGCGAGAGCACGAATTATGTTTACAAATAGTCAAGTTCTGTGGAGTGTACAGCTTAAAGTGGTCCGATGGACGGATACTCCAATCTCCGCTGTGGAGCTTTGCAGCTCCTTCAGGGTTATCTTTGTTGCCTCTCTGATTAATGCCCTCCTTGCCTGGTCCGTGAGTTTTGGTGGGCGGCCCTCTCTTGGCAGGTTTGTTGTGGTGCCATATTCTTTCCATTTTTTAATAATGGATTTAATGGTGCTCCGTGGGATGTTCATAGTTTCTGATATTTTTTGATAACCCAACCCTGATCTGTACTTCTCCACAACTTTGTCCCTGACCTGTTTGGAGAGCTCCTTGGTCTTCATGGTGCCCCTTGCTTAGTGGTGTTGCAAACTCTGGGGCCTTTCAGAACAGGTATGCTGAGATCATATGACACTTAGATTGCACACAGGTGGACTTTAACTAATTATGTGACTTCTGAAGGTAATTGGTTGCACCAGATCTTATTTAGGGGCCTCATACATATGCACACACCACTTTTCCTTTATTTATTTTTTCATTTCACTTCACCAATTTGGACTATTTTGTGTGTGTCCATTACATGAAATCCAAATAAAAATCAATTTAAATTACAGGTTGTAATGCAACAAAATAGGAAAAACACCAAGGGGGATGAATCCTTTTGCAAGGCACTGTAGCTGTAACGCCAGCCACTCCTGTTTCTCTCCATCACCTTCAGAGGTGAGCCCAGAGGTCAGTTCATTCTCCACCCAACCCTGAACTGCCTCTCACCCTGCTCTTCCACCAAACTCTGCCTATCAATGGTTCTAAACACCTTCAAGGTGAAATAAAACCTTAACAAGTTGCAAGAATCTAATTCAATAAGTTTGCATGATAAATATAACAGACAGGTTATGCGTCTCTTCAAAGACCTTGCTGAAATACCATTCTCTCAATCAGGAACTTATAACGTCATAAACGTAAAAAGCTCAGGAGTTTTAGAGGTCTAACTGAACCATTCCCCAAAGATGATGGTAGTTTCCCAAATGGCACCCTACTACTACTTATATAGTGGACTACTTGTTGTGCACTATGTAGGGAAAACGGTGCCATTTGGGAAGTACAATCAATATTATACATCACTACCTGAATTGAATCTCATGAGGTTGGTATGATTCATGACCTTCATTTCGGTAAGTAAAACGTCTTTGCAGGCAGCTACCTTAGGAAGTGACTCCGTCGCCATGTCATGTGACCATGCGGTGTGGTCGATATAAAGCACGGTGGAGTCCCAACTCTACCATTTCCATAATGAGTCTTCACACAGGCCAGTAAATATGTCAGCTCAACCACTTTAATAATCTCACAGAGAGCCAGGTACTGTAGCCAATTTATATGCTAGCATGTTTTAAAAAGGAAATGAAGAGAAGGTTATGGAGTTATTGGTTCTGGCAGTATTGTTGTATGTAGCCATACATGACTCAATACAACTGGGATTCGGACCCATCAGCATCATGGTGATGCAATCCCTTCACTGACATGGCCCTATCAATAAGCTATCTAATGAGGACTTTTGCTAACCAAGTTATTGGCACACTAGACTTTCAATGGTGCCCCAGGACAGACTAATGTAAGAGTCTGATTTAGGTTTTGAATAATTCCCTTTGTAGTTGACTGCAAGGGACACTTGAATGGACTGCAGAGAAGAAGAAAAAAACATGTGTTTATTCAGGGGGATCCATTTATTGGCTATTCAGTGACATCATTTGGCAAAGACGTTTCTTCTACATCACAGCCATTATGTAACAAATTATGCCAAACTTAAGGCAGCGTTGAGTTAGAGTTGGTGTGCTACAGGGCTGCAGGTGAAACTGGGGGCACACAGCAGTGAACCCTATGCTTCTTTGCAGTATCTCCAAAGCCTCACTACCCGCTTCCCCAACACTTACAAAAAAATAGTGCAGTTGTAAAAGTGCAGTAATTGCAGTCGACGGTGGTATTTTGGATGCAGTAATTGCAGAATAACTGCAGTTACACTGCAAAATTATTGCAGTAAAAACCATATTTTGTACGCAGTATTTGCAGCACACTGCAGTTATACTGCACTCTGACTGCAATCTTTTATCGTAAGGGAAGAGGTTAGACTCACCCTGCTGGGGTAGGAAAGGAAAACAATTTCCTCTAGAGGTGACATTCAAGACACCTTCTCTCCGCCTGTCCCTGCTCTCCGAGAATGTCTCAGGGAGAGTTGGGATATTTTAAAAAAACACATTTCCTATTCACATGTATCAATACACACTTGTACATGTGTAAAATAGGACAAATAAGCACCACCAAATTATTATACTGTATATCTCAGTTGTGTTCAATTCCATGTCCCTCTCAGAACATTAACAAGGGTTCTAAAAAGAAAATGAAGTTACCTATAATGAAGACATTTCAAAAACGTTAAATTTTACAGTTCGACTTAATATATACTCAGTTGATACACAAGGCCTTTTTCCACCAGTCACTGAAACATCAACCCTTCAAGTGCTACTCTTAATAAACCATAACATAGAATTGATAGGGTCTGTGGTAGTCAGCTGTTCATATAAATATATAATCAGGTATGTTTTTAAATCAAGCAACTCCTACTCCCATTGATCACCTCTAAGATCATCCCAGTCAGTCAGATCCACAGAATGAAACAAACAGGAGGATGGATTAAATAAAGAGAACACCGATGAGTCAAACAGTTACTTTATTTTATGTTCAGGTAAAAACATGAACCTGATGCAGTAAATTATTGCAGATCTTAGAAACCAGCACATGAACGATTGGGCCAGGAGAGCATCGAGTGGGGCCCTCCCCTGGCTACAGACTGCAGGTGCACACCACGGTTTGTTCCAAGCCAGCAGCCAAAAAATAAAACTATAGCAAGAAAAAAAAAAAAAAAAAAAAAAAAAGGTGAAGCAGACATCCCCACCTCAAACTGGGCGTGAAACTGCATATAAACTCTTATTCCATAAATGAACTTGAAACGCTATCTGGCCATGAAACGATAAAATGAGTCCAGCCAAATGGGTGCGCTCAGCTACAATGGGGATTGGGGGGTGGCGGCTCGGAGCTTGGCCTAGCCAATCAGTCTGCCCAGAGTGCACTCCCTCAGCGTCCACCTGAGACACACTACTACTCTATCAAAGTGAGAGCAAAAAAAAAAAAAAAGTTTACTTATCCAACACACTGGATAACTCTTAGAACTTTTGAGCTGAAGCTCTTTGTAATTGTAGAACACAATCTCAATTTGGGAGTAGGTACTACGCTCTCATCACTACCCGCAGTCAACCAACTGCAACTCCATTCCCAAAAATGTATAAGCAAAAACACACAGAGGGGAAAAAGCAGAACCAAAATGCAACACACAAACTGGGGCCGTATAATACAGGAGAACAGAATGCAAACAGACAAACTGAAGGGGAAAGGAGACATGAGAACAAAGAGCTATTCTATCAAATGTGTAGAATGAGCAGTCTGCACATTTTTTCTGTACAAATTATCTTTGGAGCTAAAGTGAACCTAGCTTGCTCAATGGACCTCCCCTCCCCACCACAGTGACATCATTCATCACTGAGGAAACATCCCTTTAAATATCACACAGCAATGCATTTTAAAATGTCACCCAGGTTTTTATTTTCTTCTTTTTTTTTTTTTTTAACATTACTCAACTACTGATATCATTTTTTCGCAGATGTTTTATTTTTTTATTTTTTTATTCTGTGAGTCATGTAATGCCTTTTTTCTAAGAGAGACAGGGGCAGCAAATATATATCTCAAGTCCTTTTTTAATTTCTGCAAGCTGCGTTCTCTAACAAGGCTGTACACATTTTGCCTTGGAGGTGATTAGAAATAGAAAAACTAGAAGGAAGTCATGATTTCTTCAGTTTGCTGTAGAAGGCATTTTGAATGGGAGAGAGACTGCGAGATCAGGACAGGTGGAAGGACTGCTGGCCCTCGCGGGCCGCGATCAACAGTTTCTTGCGCATGATCTCGATGCTGGAGTAGTCGGGCAGCTTCAGGTAGTTGACACAGGTCATAACTGACGGCAGGAAGTCATCCGGGTTCTCCGTCGACTCAAATGTCTTCCGCACGATGGTCAGCGGCGGGTTCAGACTACGGAAACCTGGAGGAGAGAGAGGTGGCATCAGAATCAGCTCAAAACTGCCATGGTTGGATTTGTCAGTCGACATACTGAACGTGCCTTCTTCCATTCTCTGTGGTTGAGGTCTACCTTATTTTAATGCAGTAGGGTGAGCAGTGTCCCGTTCATTTCTTTACTAAGTGCATGAGGGCGCAACATGACTGCAGCTTCAGTTAAAGTGCTTTGCACTCAGAAAACATGTCACCCAAAGTGTGGGATTGTTCAATCCTCAAAATCGGAGAATGGGACCACAACTTTGAGGCACAAAAAAAATATTCAAGTGTGTATGGTGAGTATTTATCCATGACCACTCACCTCCAACAGGCAGCCTGGGGCTTCCTGTTACAAACTGCAGGAAAAGTCTCTGCTGCTCTGCGTCGAAACTGCTGAGCACATCAAACAGGAACCTCACAGCACGACTGTGGAGAGACAGACAACACGTCAAACCACTGCACTCTGACAAGTCCTTAACATGACACTCATTGTAGGTCTGGTCAGAGCTCTGGGGGGTGGAGTAGCTCACCTGTCATGGGTGTAGCCGTGGTCGGGCCGACAGCACTCCATCAGGGTCTTGACGTCCCAGGTATCGGACTTGCTGCCACAAAGCAGCTGATCCAACTAAAGGCGGACGGGAGAGCACAGAGGGGGTTAGCAATGTGACATCCTGAAGACAACCAAACAGCTAAATTAATAATTGCTTTTTGGGATTAGTGATAGCAGTACTCACCTCTTCAGGGTAGAAATACTGCAAGTGATGCAGGGGGAAGACCGACTCAAACCCTTCCCTGAAAGATTCAAACTGCCGGGACACACCTTCGTTCATCGTCCAGTAGACCACCAGCTGTGGAGAAAAGGGGACCAACGGTCAGCTCCCTAAGAGGTGGACAGAGGTGTGTGGAGAGTCTATATGTAGGAGCTCTGTGTGTGCCTGTAAAGTCTACGTGCATGTGTGTGTGCGAGCTACCCACCCTGAGGTACTCCTCCAGGTTGTAGATGGTGACGGGGATGTCCTTGCCACCCTTCTTCAGCTCGATGTTAGGGAAACCGGGCAGGGTGAAGTCCAGGCCCAGGTCCTCCACAGAGCAGCCGTTCATGTTGAGACTCTCCAGAGCCTGCTGCAGGGTCTCCCTCGTCTAGGAGACGCACACAAGGAGGAAACAGGCATGTTATTAATATGGGGAACGTAACATGGAGGAGCATCAATCTGATAGGGAGGGGCCATAATGATCGAACTCAGAAGTTAGGCCGGGTTTACGGTCCACCAAACACTCTCCTTAGAAAAACATCACTGACACTTGAGTAAAGCTGCAAATTCTGACTCGCATGAAATTTACGTGCGGACTGTGGAGCCCTTTGCACAGTGCGTGGGGAGAATCACAAAGCGGATGTCTAGTGGAGTGTAAATCAAGCCTTACTATAGCTACCACTATGAACGCCATCTCTGAGAAAGATCTCCATAAGAGCGTCCAAGTTTTCATCACAAAAGACAAATTGTAATGACTACGAGGTTAGATGCGTCTGGGGAGGTTGTGTATTGGGGACTGACCTGGGAGCGGTCCTGCTCCAGCCTCTTCTTCTGGCGGATGATGTCCTCCAGGTGCTGGATGGACTTGGCCACGCCTGGGTCGATGTTGACCAGGTCGTGGGAGCTGATGGAAGTCTCATGCCGCAGCATCCACTTGTAGAAGGGCAGCCCAAGGGGCAGGTCCAGCTGGGAGGGAGTGGAGAGGAGACAGAGGTGTTAGAGCAGCAGAGGGCTCCCTATTGAGTGTAAAATTCTACTTGAACAGTGAGAGCATGTAGGAGGGCTGTAGAACAGGGGAGTTAAAGCAAGAGGGTGCAGAAAAAATATATATAAATCACCCAACTTTATTCTGGCAAACGGGGCTTAAGGCAAGTAATGCAAGTGTAGAAACCACTCCAAAAGGACTAAATAGTAGCATTTGCAGTGGAGACTACAGAGACTGGTCCACTGGTCAGAGGTATAACAAAGTGTTACGGTTTACCAGTCTGAAGTCCATTATGGCCTTGGCCATCAGCTTGCCTAGGAAGCGGAACTTCATCTTGATTTTGGCGATGTGCGCCGGTTTGGTTGTCCTGCCGAAGGGAACGGCAAACAGCCCTCGGGAGCTGAACATGTACTTGGTCCCTTCTTGGCTTCCTGGGAGAGGGAAAACAAGATGGTGGAGAAGAGAGATTTAGGGAGAGGAAGAGTAGTTCCAATGTCGGTATCAAAGAGAAGCTACTCAGCAATGATATGTCCTCTTCAGGAGCCCGTATCTCAGCATGATGTGACTAAACAGTTGCCACGAGGCGCATCTTGGAAAACTGTAGGACAGCCTTTAAATCTAAACTAAATCCTATTTCTGTCCAAATTACATTCGTTTTTTTGTTGCAGAATTGACTTTAAAATGTTTTTAGGAGCTCCTATTTTAGAGACAAATCTATTCCCCAGAGGGTTGGAGTAGAACGTTACCTTTTGGGTTGGACAGGGTGACCTCCTCACCCCTCCACAGCCCGAGGTCGGCCCTCTGCAGCTCCTGGGAGACCAGGGCGTAGAACTCCAGGGTGGGACCCAGCCCTGTGCCCACCTGACAGAAGGACAGAGACAAGGGGAGGAAGAGAGAGAGCGAGAGAGTAAGAGGAGAGAGAAAAGGAAGAGAGAGAAAGAAATAGAGGGAGGAGAGAGATGAGCTTCTATCCAGATAAGTCTAGGGTCATGTTCAAAATCTACCCCCCCCAGACGACTCCAGGTTCTGTGGTACTTTATGAGAGGGACGAACTCAAAATGGAGGCGATTGAACAGAGCTCTGTAATGAGGGTGTGAATACGTGTACTGTACCTCGTTCTCATACTGGATCTCCAGCATGGCTCTGGAGCTGCCTAGGTCCTGCATCACTGACTCCGCCTGCTTCAGCAGCTCCTCACGGTTTATCGTTCGCTGGAGACAGTGGGAATAGCAGAAAGGAGGAGTTAGTGAAAAGACAAACAGGAGTGGGTACAAAAAGAAGATGAGCTGGCTGGATAATTGCAATTGGGGGATGTCCACTCTTCTTGGCTACACTTGAACCCATTCCAGAAAGGTATTTGAAATGCATACATTGAGCTGATTATGTGACATTACACCAACATCATTCTAACATATTCAACACCTTTTTCCTGTCGAGGCGGGGCGCCACGCGGCTGTCCTGAGAATCTGATTGGTTGATCTCGGGGTTAGTGTCGAGGAGGCGCTGCATGGCCCGGTCGCGGTCAAAAGCAGTCACATAGAAGAGCATCTGCCGTGTGTCGAACGGGAAGAAGAAGGGACTGGGGAGAAGGGAGAGGAGTGACAATGATAGTTGGTCAAAATGCATGGCATATATACACTCACTTGGACAGTTTATTAGTTACACCCACCTATAATGAACAAAAATAAACACAACAAGTGAAGTGTCCCATGTTTCATGAGCTGAAATAAAAAGATCCCAAAAATGTTAACACATTTGTTTACATCCCTGTTAGCGACATAATCCATCCTTCTGACAGGTGTGGCATATCAAGAAGTTGATTAGACAGCATGATCATTACACATGTGCATCTTGTGTTGGGGACAATAAAAGGCCACTGAAATGTGCAGTTTTGTCACACAACAATGCCACAGATGTCAAGTTTTGAAGGAGCGTACAATTGGCATAATGATGCAAGGAATGTCCACCAGAGCTCTTGACAGAGAACTTAATGTTAATTTCTTTACCATAAGCCGCCTCCAATGTCGTTTTAGAGAATTTGGCAGTAGGTCCAACCAGCCTCACAACCGCAGATCATGTGTAACCACGCCAGCCCAGGACCTGCACATTCTGATTCTTTACCTGCGGGATCGTCTGAGACCAGCCACTCGGACAGCTGATGAAACTGTGGGTTTACACAACCGAAGAATTTCTGCACAAACTGTCAGAAACCGTCTCAGAAAAGCTCATCTGCGCGCTCACCAGGGTCTTGACCTGGCTGCAGTTCGGCATCGTAACAGACTTCAGTGGGCATATGCTCACCTTCGATGGCCCCTGTCACGCTGGAGAAGTGTGCTCTTCATGGATTAATCCAGGCCGGGCAGATGGCAGACAGCGTGTATGGTGTCATGTGGGCGAGCAGTTTGCTGATGTCAACGTTATGAACAGAGTGCCCCATGGTGGCGGTGGGGTTTTGGTATGGGCAGGCATAAGCTACGGACGACGAACGCAACTGCATTTTATCGATGGCAATTTGAATGCACAGAGACACTGTGACGAGATCCCGAGGCCCATTGTTGTGCCATTCATCCGCCGTCATCACCTCATGTTTCAGCATGATAATGCATGGCCCCATGTTGCAAGGATCTGTACACACTTCCTGGAAGCTGAAAATGACCCAGTTCTTCAATGGCCTGCATAATCACCAGATATGTCACCCATTGAGCATGTTTGGGATGCTCTGGATCAGAGTGTACAACAGCATGTTCCAGTTACGCCAATATCCAGCTACTTCACACAGCCATTGAAGAGGAGTGGGACAACATTCCACAGGCCACAATCAACAGCCTGATCAACTCTATGCGAAGGAGATGTCACGCTGCATGAGGCAAATGGTGGTCACACTAGATACGGACTGTTTTTCTGATCCACGCCCCTACTTTTTTTTTTTTTAAGGTATCTGTGACCTACAGATGCATATCTGTATTCCCAATCATTTGAAATTAATAGATTAGGGCCTAATTTATTTATTTAAATTGACTGATTTCCTTATATGAACTGGAACTGTAAAATCGTAGAGATTTTTGCATGTTGCGTTTATATTTTTTGTTCAGTGTAGTACCGGGTTGACCCCCCCTTTGCCTCCAAAACCCTAGACACTGTCGTGTGTGAAAAGCAGTTTCTGAGGTACTGGATCCGGTGCGCCTGGAACAGAGGATCATACCACGCTCAGTCGCTTAGGTCACTCGTTTTGCCCATTCTAATGTTCAATCGAACAGTAACCGAATGCCTCGATGCCTGCTTTATATAGCTAGCCATGGCCACATGACTCACTGTCTGTAGGCACGATCCATTTTCTTGGATGAGGTGGTGTTCCTAATAAACTGGCCAATGAGTGTATATATTCAGTTGCTTATGTGGGTTAATCTTGTGCCTGTAAGAGAAAATTGCTATTGAAGTTTCAGTTTACTTCCTGAAATGATACGGAATTGTCCTCAACCCTGGTCTAGACACGCAATTTGAGGACATTGCATTAGTGAATACAGGGCAAAAATATTCAGTAAAACAAGGTTTTTGTGTGTGTTCTGAACCAGTGGGTGTTTATGAGCTGAAAAGCAGTCTGATGAGTTACCAGGTCTTGCCGAGCTCTGTGAGCCAGGTGGGGATGTTGCCGGTCATGATGACCAGAGGGTCCTGCAGCTGTCGGTTGGCCTTGGCTGTCAGTTTACTGTTGATGAACTCACTGGTGGGGATGATCTCCTTAGACACAGCATTCTGAAAAAAACAACAACCTCAGTCTACTGGAACTACAACAACGCAGTGCCTCTGCCTCTCTGATGCAAAGAAACAGGGGGCTCCGTTTGAATGCAAAAAGGACAGTTATTTTTGGCAACTGTGTGCACTAAGAGGGCTGTCTAGCTAGCAGACAGTTATATGGTACACTGCGGTTTACCTCCTACAAGCCCACAAAGATATCTTAAGCATTAAGTAGAACATGACACGGACAGTGGAATCTTTTGGAGGCAGTCATACAGGCTTGTCACAAATGGCAACTCATTCCCTACATGGTGGAACACTTGTTTGCCCTGGTCAAAAGTAGTGTACTATAAAAAGGTTATAGGGTGCTATGTGGGACTCAACCAGTATGTAGTTGAGTTAGCGCCAGTATCTGCAGGGTGGAAAGGACAGGCTACTCACGTCGTACAGGTAGAACCAGTAACTACTAATGGAGTGCAGCACCCTAAGCAGCAGGTTGACGTCCAGAGACGGGTCGTCAAAGGTAATGCTCTCCGGGGGCTCCGACATGAGGTACATCTCCAACGGGCTGGCCACACTGGGACACACGCCGTCTGGGTGGGGAGAGACAGCAAGTCAGGGTCATATTAATTAGTGCACACGGTAGCAAAACATTTCTTATTGGACAAGGGCAGGTAGTCCCTTGTTGTTTCAGTCCTTTTCTTCCGTTTTGTGCCCAATGAATACGACCCAGATGTGGTAGCTAAACTGACATGGTAAAATGTATAGTATGAGTTAAGGACTTGTAGTATGTAGTGCACTACTTTCAAAGTAATACGGTGTAGAGAATAGGGTGTCATTTGAGACTATCAAAGCCCTTTGGCCATGGGGTTGGTGCAAAAGCACTTTGGGACAACTGCTAACATAAAAAAACGGTTTTAGAAATACATTTGATTAATTGATTAGACAGACAATATCTGTGGGTTTGTGTGAACAGGTCATCTCAGGTCATTAATTCATTCAGATGGTCAAAAAAAAGTAAATTGACCATTCGCTAAGCCCCAGATGGATAGCAACCGACACCTCGGACAAGCTCACGTTTCAAACCCCTGGAAGCCATGGAGGGCTATGGAAAAACAGAGTTCATAAAAACAATTATTTAAATGGATAAACTATGATACATGATATATAGAGCCCGTTGAAGTGTTTTTCAAATGCGAAATTATACTGTGGTTACATTGTCTGCTAGCTAGCAACGTACGAGACCATTCGGAGGAGGAATTATTTTTTTTGCACCAATCTTCGATAGTGTAATTACACTGATCGGCTACCATATGAGGCCAAAAGTGTTAAGTGTTTTTTGGGAGCTCTTCTTGAAGATAGTGGTTTCCTTTTATGTATTGATCGCATACAGACACTTTACCAGGTGTTTAAAGACAATGTTACATATAGGATTAATATAACTGGTTTTCTCCAAATGTTCTACTACGCTAACATATGAAATTGTTATAAGATGGTCATACCATGGATCATTTAGCTATTTGATTTAGAATTTTATGACCCCTTTAGGTATCAATACAAATTTGAATATTGCCTTTACTACTATAGCCCATAGAAACGCATTGAATGACATTTATAAATGGCAAAAGTCTAAATAAATCATAAGGTTTTGAAGCATGTCACCTGTATCTAGGAGATAAGAAAGCTCAGGAAATAATTATTTTTTGGACACATCTAACCCCTTATTTTTGTTGACACAAAACTACCTCCATACTTCCATTAATTTGTATGGGTTACCTTCAGACGAGTCCTGTGACACTTGTGAGGGGTTGTAGAGCAAATGGAGAACACCATCGTGAGTCTCATCTTTCCGCTACAGACGTTTTTGTGAGAAGACAGATTTTCGCCATGTCTCATTGGCTGACAAGCACCACTGTAGCTCGGCCACCTTCCACCGCAGATGCGGAAGGCCGACATTGGCAGTTGCGGTGGATTGAGTTCATAAAAAAAACATCTCTAGATTAAACTGATGGATTTTGATTGGGATTCTTTTATTTTTGTTACTTCGACTATAATAACAATAGACTTGATTAAGAACACAGTTTGAGATCATTGTGAGGGGTTTTCTCCAGTGGTTTAAAAGGGGCCGTTAACTTTTTTCAAGCAGGAGAAGCAGGTCAGATCACTTCATCCCCACTGTAATGAGTACTTTAGAGTTGCACTACAAAAGAAACCAGCAGAACTAGTCTCTCAGTCTCCAGGCCAGTAGACAACACAGACACCCACCCCACCTGTCTAGGCCCAGAGGTGGTGGTAGTTGTTCCTACCGTGCCACAGCTCGTCCTGTTTCTTGGCGTTGCGGGGCGAGGTCTTGGTGGGGGCAGTCTGTGCCCGGCCCCTCTTCCCTCCCACCGCATCCTTACTGCCATCCTCATCCTCCCTCACTGGCTTATACCTGATGGGATAGAGAGAGAGTGTCTGTGGAAAGCATCTCGGGGAACGTGACTACATTGCCATGTCAGTTGCATTTGTTCACCAACTCAGCCATCTATTAGACATGTGTGAGACTTCTCAGGGAAGGTGGCTACAATGCACAACCCTAACAGCCACCCACTATAAACATCAGTCAATTGTGTTCAGGGCCAAATGCAGGTAGATTTAGCTATTGGCAGGTAAGAATGTCTATTTCACCAGCCACTTTGGCAGGTGGTCAATTTGCAGGGCTCTACAGTGTGAGCATTATATTCGCGAATAAAAATAGACAATTGCATGTGCTTATACTTAAAGAGTTAGAAAAATACTGCAGTAGCTGTTTTTCAAAGCATTTCTGCTGTTTTGTTTCATAGCTGCTCATTGCACAAATAAATACGAATCCTATATCACACCACACACAGCAACACTGCCTGGCAGGGGAGCTAAGCTCACTGAGTGAAGTGCTGATAGATATATTTTTGGAGGCACAGTCATAGAAGTAGGTCTAATTTACTCCAAAGTTTACAAAGTGAGACTTTGTCCTTGTGTTTCTTGGCTATTTACATTGCCTTGTTCACAAGTTCGGTTGTTTTTCAACAATAGTTTGAGTCTGCTGCTTCAACTGATAGCGAAGAGACGCCTTAGACGCCAAATCTCACACCACGGTAACCTCGCGCCCTTAAAGGGGCAGCTGAACATTGTCTTTGATATTTTAATTAAAAGACAGAGGACACAAAACATGAAATTGATCAATATACCACTACTTCTTACTAATACATTCGTGTTTTAGAAACGTTACAAAGCATGGTCATCTGTTTTATGCAAAAACAACATTTTGGCTGATAAAATTAAATCTGAGGGGCCGGTAGATTCTCTTATCTACATGCCACAGTGGCTGGTGGACCAAAAATAACATTTTAGGCACTTGTTGTGTTTGTTATAGAAAGGCTACCATATGGTGTGGGTTTTGGTCCAGATGCCGGCCCGTCCGAGCGGGTTGGCCTCGTCGTCCGTGGACTCCCTCTCCTCCTCTGCCTGCAAGCTGAACTGCCGCACCGCCTGGTACACCGTCATGTTGTAGGGCAGCAGGTGGTCGCCGATGTAGAACTGCAGCCGGTGGCGCACGCTGCCAGAGTTCAGGAATTGGGCCGCCTGGACAGGGATAGACGGTCAAGTTATGGTGGTCAAGTTAGGGTTGGCAGTAACAGAATGAGTTATTGGTGGGGGAAGAGGTATTATCCGATATGGAGGTTATTTTGCAAGGACATTGTAGCTACGTACCAGCGATTCGTCAATTTCATCGTCTGAACCATCATCGTCACTGTCCTCGTCCTCCTCCCTGATTCGTCCGTAACCTGTAGAGACAAACAAAAGTCCCATTGAGCACATCGGCATGTTACCCATAAATGTCAGTAAAACAAGGAGACATTCTAGAACAGAAAAACTCTGGGAAGGAACTTGAGAAAGCAGCCCAGTTGAATGAAGATCATTTGTGGGTGACCTATGCTCCTCACAGAGTGAAAGGGCTTAAGTCAAGTCAGTAACTCAATGCAAAGAGACAGTTTTCCCAGTGCTCACCTCGGACCACCAGGTAGCGTTCAATGGCCTGTACCAAGGCAAGGGGGTCGATCTTCACCGGGCCCCCCTTCCACTGCTTCACATTGGTGCAGTCCGGGTGCCTCTGCAGCTGACACTTGAGTTGGTGTGTGTTGAAGAACTTCAGGGCCTGAGACCCTCTGAAGGGGAGACACACGTCAACAGACAAGATCACAATGATACAGAGGTAAATACTGGCAAGTCCCCTTCCTTGACCTATGCCCATTGGCCCTATTGAAGTCTATATGGGTATCACACATTAAAGTAACCACACATTAGTGAATAACTGACATTAAAAAAAGAGAGGGTTTGTGGAACAAAAGGAACAAAGAGATTGAAGGAAGAGATGGGACTAGGTAAATGAACTAACCTGCTCCCGTTGCCGTTGCCACTGGGGAAGTCATGCACCTTGACAGGGAACTGCTCCATCTGACTTAGGCAGTTGTTCATCTTGTGCACCAGTGACAGCAAGGGCCCGTTCTCAGACGGCTCCAGGCGGCCTGCCGGCTCCATCCCCGGGATCTGGAAGGGCAAAACACAGGAGGGACACGCTTCAAACAACCTGCAAAGACTAGAGTCGTATTCATCAGGGCATACCGTACAAAAATGTTTTGCAAAAGAAAATGAAAATAAGCATTTATTATTGGTTAAGTTTAGGTAGTTCCTCCCTTTGTCAGTTTTCTACAGAGTATAACCAGCTATAGTTCATTAGATACTGGCGAATAGGAAGTCAACAATATATAAACAGGGAATATGTAGAATAAAAAAAAATATATATAAAAAAAAACGGTAATTCAAATGTCACATATAATTGACAAAAGACAACAGTCTAGGCCAGTGTTTCCCAACTCCAGATGTGTTGTAGCACCGGACAAACACACCTGATTCAACTAGTCAACTACTCATCAAGCCCTCAATGAGTTCAAATCAGGTGTTTTTGCTTGGGTCTACAAGAAAAATGTGCGCCGTTGTGGGTACTCGAGGACCGGAATTGGGAAGCACTGGTCTAGGCTACATAACAATATTATAAGCAATACTTTAGTAGGCCACAAAAGGCGGGGCTCGGTTGAGTGAGTACCTTATGAACTCTAGGAGAAAAAATATCTATTTACACAGTCCAGCCGGCATTCATTCTAGCCTGAGCGCAAACCCTCATACTGGCTTTATACTGTATTTAGAGCCATGAGTTGTATAGCCAATAACTAGGGCCTTGAGTTTTTCCTGGTCAGGTCAATCTGAAGTGGTCAGGGAAAAACTTCAGGCCCTACTAGCGCAACATGGCCTATTTGTTTGTCTGACATCCTTCCTAGACATAAATGTTTTTTTATTGTTAAGATGCCCTCAGCTCCAGTCTCTGCCACGGTCTATTAGTTGGCTACATTGTCAGTCACTGGATACTGAGAAAGGATAAAGTCTTCATCGGGCGAAAGACAAGCTTCTGATAGAAACAGAATCTCATTCTAGTTCTGTGCTTCAGACCAGCCGAACAGCCTTACCGGGCAACCGTAGAAGACGTGCAGGAATCTCTTGAGGCGGACGTCACGGCTGACCAGGTCACGGTCACTGCTGGAGGTCAGGTAGAGCAGCAGCTGCTTGACCAGGCCGCTGTGCTGGATCTCGAACGATGACACGTCCGACTCTGACACGATGCTGCAGATCTCCACAAGGCACTCCACGCCACCGTCCATCTGGAGGGGAATTGGGGGTGTGACAGCGGTCAAGAACGTTATCATAACCCAAGTCACTCGCCATCATACCTTAATGACCTCGTCTTTAGCTAGCAATGTAGATAGTACCCGGTACCATCAACACAGCAAAGAAAAACAAACAGCTGCTTTCTCAAATTAGTATTAGCGAACAGGGTCTCCAAAGCAGTCTCCAATATGTAAACTAATTACTATTTACTTTCATAGTGTGCAACACTACAACGTGAGAGACTGTTGTGGAGTACAGTACAGTACCTGCAGGCTGAGCTGTTCCGTGGCGGTGCAGAGTCTCTGTAGTACATTTAGTGCGGGGTTGCTGCCATCAATGTTTTCAGTGTTGAAGTAGCGCACCACAAACTTACAGGCCTGCTCTTTGATCCAAGCCTTGATCTTGTCCCTGGGGGGGGAATGAAACCATCGTCATTATCATCACCACCATTACTACCAACACCATGGCTGTCTTCTTTCCTCCAGTCCTTAATTCCTTGACTAACCTCGCAAAGCCCATTGGAGGAGGTTGTCCGAGGGGAGAGATCTTGGATCCAGAAGGAATTGAAGATTTGACAGCTTGGGTGCATTTGGTTTGATTAAACCAGGGGTGTCAAACATACAGCCCAAGAGCCGGATCAGGCCCTCGAGCCCATTCAATTTTAAGTGCGGCCCTCAGGACTGCCAAATGAGGGGCAAAATGAGTTTCATTAAACTCTTGCTACGTTGCGTGACAGTCCGTACTGAACAACACCTTTCCACAAAACGTTCAACGTTCTTGAACAGACCGAGGTGTGTTTACGGCGTATGGTGGGGTGTGCCTTGAAGCAATGAGTAACATATTTAAAGGGCAGCGGTGCATTTTTGAATGATCATATTTGCACAACCAAACAACTCGACATTTTAACTGATCTTTCAGAACAGCACCGTTGCACCCCATTTTACGTACCGAACGCAGCCCTAGCAACATTTTCTGAGAGAGCCAATGATAATCACCAACAACACTATCATCATTACCACCTCCACCACCGTAATCATTTCCGTCGTACCTGTTGTTGGAGACAGAGTCCTTGGGAAGCGCGCGTGCCAGGCCACTCACCCCGGCCGTGCGAGAGGGCTCAGAGTTGGTGCTGTTGGTCTGGGCGCCCAGCTTGCCCCAGGTCTTGGGGTTCAGACTGGCCAAGAAGGAGGATTTGGGGGACTGAGTAGTGGTAGGACTCTTGGCTGTAGGAACGGTAGAATGGTTAGTCACAGAATGAAACATGACAAAGCTTGTGTTTCAAATGATACCCTATAGTTGAGCGTGTCCCAAACTCGGTCCTGGGGACCCCAAAGGGGTGCACGTTTTGGTTTTTTGCCCTAACACTAGACAGTGGATTCAAATAATCAAAGCTTGATGATTAGTAGATTTCAATCAGCTGTGTAGTGCTAGGGTAAAAACCAAAACGTGCACCCCTTGGGGTCCTTAGGACCAAGTTTGGGAAACACTTATAGTTGTTTGAAACAGACAACAGATTCTCTGGTGGTTTTTAAAGAATGAAGTCATGCTGTATTTATGTCAAGAATTCACAAGTATCAGTTAGCATTCTGCATAAATGTCTCAACAGATATACCAGGACTGCAGCCACAAAGAGGCATGGAGACCAACGATGCCATATGGCGAGTTGCTCTTGCACTGAGTACTGAACAGTCCAGCCAGAGTAGCGGCAGGCTGCAGATACCATACAGTGCTGAATATTGTTGATTTGAATTAACGTAAATGAGAACCAATTTTGAAGCATCGACTTTATGGTAAAAACTTTTAAAAAAATAATACATACAGTACCAGTCAAATGTTTGGACACACCTACTCATTCAAGGGTTTCTTTATTTGGACTATTTTCTACATATGGAATCATGTAGTAACCAAAAGTGTTAAACAAATCAAAATATATTTAATATTTGAGATTCTTCAAAGTAGCCACCCTTTGCCTTGATGGCAGCTTTGCACTCTCTCAACCAGCTTCATGAGGTAGTCACCTGGAATGCATTTCAATTAACAGGTGTGCCTTGTTAAAAGTTAATTTGTGGAATTTCTTTCCTTCTTAAAGCGTTTGAGCCAATCAGTTGTTGTGACAAGGTAGGGGTGGTATACAGAAGCCTTATTTGGTAAAAGACCAAGTCCATTTCATGGCAAGAACAGCTCAAATAAGCAAAGAGAAATGACAGTCCATCATTACGTTAAGACATGAAGGTCTGTCAATCCGGAACATTTCAAGAACTTTGAAAGTTTCTTCAAGTGCAGTCACAAAAACCATCAAGCGCTATGATGAAACTGGCTCTCATGAGGACCACCACAGAAAAGGAAGACCCAGAGTTACCTCTGCTGCAGAGGATAAGTTCAATAGAGTTACCAGCCTCAGAAATTGCAGCCAAATAAATGCTTCACAGTGTTCAAGTAAGACACATCTCAACATCAACTGTTCAGAGGAGAATGCGTGAATCAGGCCTTCAAGAATCCACTATACTAAAGGACACCAATAATAAGAGACTTGCTTGGGCCAAGAAACATAAGCAATGGACATTAGACTGGTGGAAATCTGTCCTTTGGTCTGGAGCCCAAATTTGAGATTTTTGGTTCCAAACAACGTGTCTTTACGAGACGCAGATTAGGTGAACGGATGATCTCTGCATGTGTGGTTCCCACCGTGACGCATGGAGGAGGTGTGATGGTGTGTCCCATCTGGTTTGCGCTTAGTGGGATTATCATCTGTTTTTCAACAGGATAATGACCCAAAACACACCTCCAGGCTGTGTAAGGGCTATTTGACCAAGGAGAGTGCTGCATCAGATGACCTGGCCTCCACAATCACCCAATCCAATTGAGATGGTTTGGCATGAGTTGGACCGCAGAGTGAAGGAAAAGCAGCCAACAAGTGCTAAGCATTTGTGGGAACTCCATCAAGACTGTTGGAAAAGCATTCCTCATGAAGCTGGTTGAGAGAATGCCAAGAGTGTGCAAAGCTGTCATCAAGGCAAAGGGTGGCTACTTTGAAGATTCTAAAATATATTCCATATGTGTTATTTCATCGTTTTGATGTCTTCACTATTATTCTATAATGTAAATAAAAGGAAAAGAAAAACCCTTGAATGAGTAGGTGTCCAAACTTTTGACTGGTACTGTATATACACACACACCAAGGAATTTTACCTTTCCAACTACAAATGTATCATTGACATTTAGCACTATTTGTATCACCTGTGATAACCATTTGCATCCAGTCTCAGAGATTGTATGAGAGTTCCAATAACAATTACCCTGATTGTCTACTTTGTCGTCATCCCTGGGAGGAGAGTATTTGGGCCTTCTGGGCCCTCTCTTAGGCAGACGTTTTCTCTTCAGCACATCACTTAATCGCCTAGGAGAGAGGGAGAGATGAATGTTGTTCTATGGAGGAGTGTGTGAGTGTACTTGTGTGTGGTATCTGACCTCTCAATACGTGCACATTCACGTGTATTTAGTATTCGTGTTCTCTCACCCCTGTGGGCTGAGGTCCAGTGAGTCGTCCATGCTGTGCTGGAAGCTAGGTGAGCCCAGGTCTGGGGTGGCGTTGGTGGCCAAAGTAGTGGTCGCAGTGCTGATGGTGGTGGTACACAGGCTAGCCGTGCCGCTGGTGCACGCCTTTGGGGGACTGGTGAGGAAGGCCTCCGACTCAGCCAGGTTCTTCACCTGGTGCATCACACCTGGAGAGGGGAGGAGGGCAGAGGGGAGATGGAATACAGTGAAATTCCTATTTTCCCAATTCTCTGATATTGAAGACGGTCAGAAATTGTGATTAAATAAATCAGGGAAAATCTGTTGTGGTCCACAACATAAGCACATTGTGGTGTGACATCTCCATTTTATGACTTTGCTAAAAAACATTGAAGCTCAAACAGCAGTGGAGGATCCATCATAACAGGTCCTCTGAACAGCAGCTCCTGGTGCTAGAAAAGAGCGGTGTTTCAGCTGGGTGTTTTGGATCATTACAGGTCAGCTCCTCTAGGGACGAGACGCAGGCTCAGGCAGGATCTATTACCTTCTCTTCTGAAGAAGACACTGAATACGTCGGGCAGCTTCTGCATGAGGATCTCAGCCATCTGCAGAGAGCCCACTACAATCTTCAGGTCCTGGCTGGACAGCATGGAGGCAATGTGACTGGGAGAAGGAAACAGACAAACACAGGTTCAGGTGTAGTGTAAAGACACATGCCATACTGGCTATTTTTATTTGGTCCATGGAGGCAGCCATCTTGACTCAAAAGTTCACCTGGACACAGCGTGGTTCCTCAGCACGTCCTTGAGGAGCTCGGCATCGGCGAAGAAGATGATCCTGAGGATGGCTCGGAGGCACTTATGTCTGACGGCTGGGCCCGCCGACGAGCTGTACACTTCGTACAGCACCCCGAACAGGGTCTTGATGAAGCACTTGGCCAGCTCAGGGTCCTCCTTCATCAGCTGGGCCCGTGCGTCCTCCCGCCTCACCTCCTGGTGACCCCCTGGGGGACAGACAGGGGAAAACTCATGTCAGATTTGATAGCTCTTTTGACTCAAAACGAGAAATTGGATTCCCTCAGCTAGTGCAGAAGACAGAAAGAAGCAGCCTGTTCAATTTCACAAGAGTTTACAAAGAGATGCCTCTATTGAGCATGTCTCCATTGGGAAAGAGGTAATCTGCCCTCAATTGGACTACCTGGTTCAAAAGGTTCAATAAAAATAAAAGAAACAATAACTTGGGGCAGTGACCCCTTTCTCCACTGGGTCTATAGCAATCTATAAAATGTATCTTTTCAGGTGAATAGAGCTAGTCTCAGAACCAAATCATGGCATCATACTACAGCAACTGACATGAGACGCATACAACTGACACCAGGTTGGGGATAATCTATGACTAGAGGTAATGGTGGTGTGTGTCTCTCACCAGTAGTGGGGTTGGCTAAGGGGTTGGGTTTCCTCTGGATACCCCGTGCTGTGCCAGTGTCCTCGTTGATCTGCTGCATAGAGTTGAAGTCGATGGTGTAGACACGGCCCAGGGTGGACAGGCTGATCTCATCCTCTCCGTTCTGGTGGGCCGTCTGGAGAGGAAGAGAGAACCAGACACCCCCAGACGTTAGTGTAACACTGGGCTGAACAGGGGATTCACACAGCTCACAACATATGAAGACAAACAGTCTACGTTGTAGTATAGGTAGGGCCCAGAGTTTTTCCTGACCACCTGACCTGAAGAGGAGAAACTCTGGGCCCCAAGTCTGGAAGAAAGGAAATTCCCTAAAATGGAGCGGAGCGGCATGTCTGTCCTTTACCTCAATGATGCGGCTGTCGATGCGGTTGTAGGGGTGCCACAGGCCCCGGTCGTCCCTCCACTGCCAGATGGCCCCCTCTGTGGCCTGGGCACTGCCCTTCTTCAGCATGAGGTCCACAGCAAAGATGCCTTCTCTGGGCAGGCAGGGCATCAGCTCGCTGGTGGGGGGACAACAAACAGTAAGCAAAGTGAATCAGTGAACTTCGCAAACAAGGCATCTGTGGTGCGTGCATGGAGGACGCCATCTTTATGCACGTCCACCATTTGGGTAAAACAGTTTGTTGTAAAGTTGAGAGCAGCAGCAGAGGGGGTTCCTTACCAGATGAGTGAGGTGAGCTCATAGAGCTCCTGGGGGCTCCTGGGCACCAGGTCAATCTGCTCCTGGCAGCTACCGTTGGCCGCTCCGCACAGAAGGAAGCGCAGAGTCTCCGCAATATCTGAACAAAGACAAATAAATAGATACAGTCAGGGACTTTGGCCATGGAGGCATTTAGACTGTCATTATAAAGCTGCATTGTTAGGCTTTATTCAAGTGAGTAGTGTAAATACACAACGATAGAAAGTATGTAAGAGTGTGCGTCTGCGTGAGCCACTCACTCTGCTTCATGAGCTGCACGGCCAGACAGGGGCAGTTGGAGCACATGAGGGAGAACATGCGCACCACCATGATGAACATGCCCGAGCTGAGCACGGGCGGGGTGACCACCAGCAGCTGTTGGATGTTGGTCAGCAGGTCCCGCGAGGCCACCTGCTGCAGCAGGTTCTGTGGACAGCGGTCACACAGAGGTCAAGTGTCAGTCATAGTGATGATGTCATCATGGGTCTGTTCAGGAGGGTGAGAGATGTTAGAGCCATAGAAACGTGTCGAGTAGAACCGCCTCACTCACCTCCTCGTGTTGAAAGTTGTCCACCAGCCTGGCAAAACAGAGACAAGTGCTTTCAACGGATTTCTTATCCTGTACGTGGGGGGGAAGAATAACCACATTAGACAATTGACACGTCTTCACAGGTAACATGCCACAGACAACACCAATCTCACCTGCAATATAGCAGAGCATGTAAAAGGTGAATGTGTCTGTACCTGGTGTGAGAGTCTCTGGGTCAGCAGTGGCAGGGAGTCAGAGACAAAGTGGAACTCGTCAGGGGTGATGCTCTGGCAGCAGTTGGCGGCAATGGCCAGGGCGTTCCTCTGGGCATTGATGCTGAAGAACTCCAAGTACAGCAGACAGTCAGCCAGGCCACCCTGCACGACACAGGAAACACCACACAGTTAAAACACAAGAATAGGGATAGATGGCACATATGGGGACAGATTTACCTTTCAAAATACAGTGGGACAGGAGGGGGGACCATCAAATGTGTAAATTCAAAATGGCTATTCCACTCCCTTTCATTTATTAAGTGATTCTTATTCTGTACTGCACAACTATAATACAGCAAAAATTTCTTAACACTGAGGGATCTCTGACCATCAAATGGTTGAATTCAAAATGGCTTCCGTTCATCTCTACATCCCTATACACAATATTTTAAATATTACATTTACGCATCTCTGCACAACAAGGTTTCCGTTTGGAAGATGTGGCACTGGACAACGTGACCGGGATGATTTTATTTACCATCCATTTGAGAAATTCACCAGACCCATATGCATTGTGTGCATAACCCATCAGGGCATCCCCCCATGGTGCTCAGAATGACAGAAATCCCATTTAGATCATGGTAAAGCATTTTAACAGAACATGCAACTCATGTAATGAAGCAGCCAATAGAACGTCGTTTTCAAACATTTGCCAAAATGCAATTAGCGGGAAAACACCATTCTAAACATGCGGTCCTCTGTAGCTCAATTGGTAGAGCATGGCGCTTGTAACGCCAGAGTAGTGGGTTCGATCCACGGGACCACCCATACGTAAAAAATGTATGCACACATGACTAAGTCGCTTTGGATAAATGGCATATTATTATTACATCACACCTGGGAAAACACCATTCTAAACATCACACCTGGGAAAACACCATTCTAAACATCACACCTGGGAAACCACAATTCTAAACAGCGCACCTGATAGCGGTTCCATATGTGACAGATGAAACTGTTAGAAACTTAGAGGGGGAATCTAAAGATGCAACAACTAGGGTTGTGCCTTTGGCTTCTGGACAATGAAAGAAAGTTGATATGAAAACCAGTAGAACAGGAGAGAAATGGCATAGCGTTGGGTCCAATAGGGAAGTAAATGGATATACATTTGCCAAAATTACATAATTACTCCTGTCTATACAGAAATTAATAAAATAAATCAAAATACTTCACCAGAAAGCATGACTTAGCCAGAGGAATCGAGGATAATTAGCTTTTTTTTTTTTATAGCTGCGCTTCTTAAAAAATATAACTGATTCTAGAGTTGTGGCTGTCAGTGAAAAGCATCCAAAATGTGTGAAGATAATGTGTCGACTATAAATTAAACAATTAGACAAGGGGAGAGGTGTGTGGCGAAGTTATAGGCGAGTCTCTCTCCAGAATGGCTCAGCTGTTTCCCACCAATTCTTGAGTATTCATTGTGAATGTTTTGCCATTCGCAAAAAAAAAAAAATCAATACCCCATTACATACGTCACCAGTAGTTAATGTACCGTTAAACCCCGTCATTTGGTTACATTCATCTGCTAATGCATGTATTACAGTCATTTACCGTGCTCCTTCTCACAGTAAGCTATTTGAAAAACCTTTCCAACAATCTCCCCCTCGATAATCACCAATCCTCAGTGTGAAAGAGCAATGAAAGTTACAGGCCTACTGCTGCATTGGTCTATAGGCTATGAGTTCCATGCACTCATTTCTTTAGCCGCCAATGGATCACGGTGTATCAATGTGTCCATATGGTAGAGGCTGGTGATCTCGCATTAATTTTTATGATTATCATATGACAATGAAAATGTTATTATTTAAATGCGCATTTGAAAATCATAACTGGCATGCAGAACGGTAGAAATGGCAGGATAAATCGTAAGCTTCCCCAAACTTCAAACTCACGCGCCACCTATGAAGTCTTTATAAAAAATTGCATCTAAGTTTCCATGGTGGTATTTTGCCTATAGGCTACTTTGCAGCAAGGTAAGACATGCCTCATAATATGAAATAAAACATTCAGGTTTCAAACAATTAAGCCTGTTGCCTGCACTTGAATGGTGAATGGGCTGCGCGCTTCAATTACACATTGAGAAATCAAAATCTCTATTTTTATCGTGCACCAAAACTGTTAACACGCGATTGCATTTACAAATTGTTGCACAAAGATTAGGCTTATAAAAAGCCCATTTCACTCCAGCAGCAACCAGCTGATGAGCTGCAGGAGAAATCCCGCTCAATATAGTCTCTGTATGATGTGCGCGTGTGTTACTTGTGTTGGATAAATAAGATACATGACTAACGAAAATACAAAGGCCAATTGAATGTAAAAAAATTATGCTGATTAACCTATAGACCGATAAGCATGGTGGTCAAATGTATTTCCATCGACTGGGATTTCAATCGATGAATAAAAAGCATTATTTTGCAACAGGATTTTTTTTACTCTCATTTCAGCCTGCAACAGTTTAAACATTTTTTTGTGTGTGTTTTCTTTTCAAAAGCCGGCTATTTCCGGCTAATGGAAACCCTGGTGCACATCTAACATACAGCCACCACCGTCAACACTTATTTTAAGGTGAGCCTATGAGAGCCGGGTAGGGAGCAGAGATGATGACATGGAGAGAGAGAGGCAGAGCTGAGCCAGAGGGAGCAACACTTACAGCCTGCAGGATGGCTTTGCTGTGTCGCCTTGACAACATCTCCAAGGCAGTCAGGGCCTGCTCCGCCACGTCAATGAATTGGATCACCTGAAGCTGCAGACAAAGAGGAGAGAGAGCGCGCTATTAGCATATCCACCACCGTTTTATGACCGCATATGAAGAGGGAACAAGTGCATGAGGGAATGACAGAAATGGAAGACGTGAGAAGAACAACGTGTGGGCTAGGAACACCTGGGTTGCATTCAGTAGGCATGAATTGGTGGGACATTTTTCATACGGACTAGGTAGTACTTAAACTTTAATGAGAACATTTCCATTTCAAAGCATGTGTTTGGTGCCTACTGAACCTGAGCAAGGGGGGGGGGGGGGGGGGGGGTCATCCTACCTTTTCCAGGAAGACGGGGATGGCGTCCACAACCACAGCAGAGGACCGAGGCAGCGCCTCCATCATGTAAGTGAGAGCACGGGAGGCGTGGTTCATCTGAGCAGAGGCACGGGGTAAGATACAGATTTCACAAGCACAACCCCAAAGCAACTATGTTGGCTGGAACCATACAGTTAACACTTTGCTGAGGTACAGCTTATTTTGCAACAATATGTAACTATGAGACAGTGTGTTGTTTCACACTCTTTGCGAAACATTTTAGCACCTGCAATGTAGGCCTAATGTCATGGTGAAAATCAAATATCACTGGGTCCCCCCCCCCCCCCCAAAGATATAAGCCCAGGATACTCACAATGTCAAAGTTATGCTCCATCTGTAACAATGTGATCTGTGAGGAAGAGACGAGGGGATTAAGAGACTTGGCAAATCAAGACACAGTGTAAAATGATTAAAGACAAAAGGTGGACAAAGCATTGAGTGACTCACCAGAGCGGGCACCACGCTCTTCACAGGGAAGCCTCCTAGCGTCTCCTCGTTGCCCATCACCAGCAGCTGGCACATCTCGATGGCGGCCTGGAGCTGCTGGGACTCGTCGCCGGTGGCCTGCAGGCCCTGCAGCAGCTGCTGAGCCTTGGAGCCTGGGAGGAGAGATAAAGCAGGTCAGAGTAGAGACTAAACAGCATGGCTAGTATTCGCAAGAGAAGGAGTGCTGATATAGGATCAGTTTAGCCTTTAAGATCAAACTGAATAAGATTATATGGCAAGGGGGGGAATCAGACCCTAGATCAGCACTCCTCCTCTGAGAAACATTTTTAATATGGGCCCTGCCAGGAGTGCAGTCAGCACACACTTGGATTAGAGTTGAGTGAATAGCAGGTTAGAAGAATAAAGGCAGACATAAGTGAACTCAACATCCCTCCCCTGAGAGAGAATGGAAACATCCTGCTCACAGATGTTAAGCGGTAATTAAATGGATTCTGGACACAGACAAGAAGGTGTAGCACTCACTGGCTCCACTGCCTATGGTTCTGTGAAACAGCTGGGACATGCGGGGTCCCAAGGGCCCAAAGAGGTGTGGGGGTAGACCCCTGGCCTCCAGCAGGGCTGTGGGGAGAAAACAGCCAGGTTAGACAACAACCAAAGACCCTGCAACACCAACAAGGGCTGACAGGGAACTCTTATTAGACAGGAACATTGGCACATGTATCTAAGGAAAGCTGTGATCGACATACCTTGGAGTCTGCCCATTTCAGAGTCATCGGACTCGCTCTCACCGGATGTGGTCATCCCAACAGCTCCGGCAACTGAGCTAGAAGCTGGAGAGAGAAGAAGAAACAGGGACAGTTAAACAGCCATTTTCATCATCATCAAAATGACAATACATTTGTCAAACAAAGAGTTCTCTCAGATAAGGTAAAGGGTAATAAACCCCCAGGCAGGCCCAGGAATACAGTCAATGATATTTTAGTGTATACACACACACACAAACCAAGCAGCGGCTACACCAAGCAGAGGCTGGCTCCTATGCGTTTAGACCAAACACATACCAGAAATTCTTGGGATAGTCCAAAAGTTTTGATCCACTAAGGGCCAAGGGGAGAGAATCTCTGCTACCACAAGCAGGTAGCGTACCATTATAGGTGTAGCACTGAGTGTTTCCTGACCATGCGAGCTGAAAAGGAAAAACTCTGTGCCCTGGCCGCAGTAGGTACCTGTCCCTGAAGCCCCCTGCGGGGCCTCGTCAGTGCGGGCGGCCGAGGAGTTGGCCCCGTCCTGGTTGTTGTCCGAGTCAGCCATCTTCTCTTGTCGGCGAGCTTCGGCTGCCCCGCGCTTGCCCAGGCCTGAGCCTCGCCGACTGCACAGACAGGGGGGGAGAAAAAGGCAGAGGGGGACAGTGAGTGACGGCGCAACAAACTAGACCACACAGAGCCTACAGTCAAACACGGCAGGTAGCTTAGTAGTTAAGAGCGTTGTGCCAGTAACCGAAAGGTCGCTGGTTCTAATCCCCAAGCCGACTATATGAAAAATCTGTCGATGTGCCCTTGAGCAAGGCACTTAACCCTAATTGCTACTGTGAGTCGCTCTGGATAAGAGCGTCTGCTAAATTACTTTTTTTTTAAACAAAAAAACACACGAGACGGCACACAACTGACATTCCTGGTCATAAGGCATCACTAACTCACACTTGCTCTTTCGCAATGTGAACGCATGTTCACATACACACACACCTGTGAGCAGACATGTGCAGGTACCGACAACAAGCATGTTCACATTCCTGAATGGTTAAACTGTCCAGTGAAAATCTCGATTTTAAAAGTTACACATATTCTGTTAACTCACACCCAAATAATGTGGCCAAAGAATAAATTGGAGGGGGAAAAACCTCTTTAAGAAAAAAAACACCTTTTGGAAGGAAAACTATTTCACTCATATTGTAATTCTGGGTCATATTTCATAGAAATCTGGAAACACTGGACAGTTACTTTAAAGGAATAATCCACCCAAAACCACTCATTCCTATGATTTACAGTGTTAAATAATATTTGAGAATACATTTTTCATGTTGTCATTATAATAAGGTGGTTAGCAACATGTGGACATTTTTGTGGAAATCTGTTGCAGCTCAAGTCGACTACAAAACCCACAATGCAACGCGCTCCCACTCTGCTGGCTAGGTAGCAAATGTAACTACCGGTACACGCAATAATATCAAAGTCAATATTAGCATGTGAAGTAGCTAGCCAGCTGTAAAATCAACAAACTGCACTATCTTACCATGTTCAACCTGCAGATCGTCTGCTTCAAGGATGTTGCTATGGCAACAGCCATTTCCCATGTGGTAAAGAGATCAATGGAACGTAGAACGCCGGGGAAAGCGCAAGGATGCATCATTGGCGGCCATTCAAAAAATCTGATCTAACAAGGTGAATATTCGTCATGATTTAGGAGTTCTAAAAGGCTCACAATGTGGTTACTAAAATCCGATTTGGATATATTTAGCTGTTTTCACTGGATAATATTTAGTCCTTTTCGGGTTTGGAAAAATGTCTGCTAAATTCTAACTCCCGTCTGTATAAGCTGGGGGGGACGCGTGTGTTGTGTTTCCATTGTTTTGGTCGAATTCCATAAATCTCTTTACCGAATCTATGCTTTCCCACAGACATAGCTCAGGGCAAGGAGGGATATGATAAATGTGCATTGCATGCTGTTAAGTTGAAGATTTTTTAACCCTTATTTGACCAGGTAAGTTGACTGAGAACACTTTACAGCAAAGACCTGGGGAATAGTTACAGGGGAGAGGAGGGGGGATGAATGAGCCAATTGGAAGCTGGGGATGATTAGGTGGCCATGGAATTTAAGCCAGGACACTGGGGTTAACACCCTTACTCTTACGATAAGTGCCATGGGATCTTTAGTGACCACAGAGAGTCAAGACACCAGTTTAATGTTCCATCTGAAAGACGGCACCCTACACAGGGCAACGTCCCCAATCACTGCCCCGGGGCATTGGGAAACTGAGTTGAATAATTTGGTCCACAGTTTAGTTTGAGCACATCTAAGCGATATATAGTTTGTCATGACGATAGACAGATTGATGCCCATACCATCTATTAGCTGAGTTGGCGATCTGGAGTGCAGGTAATTGTTTTAAAAGTCTTATGAAATGTGATAGTGTGTTATTCCCCATCTCCAGCGACGAGAACCTTTTCATGATGATGCATTACAACACGATTTCCTGATTTCACACTGTCAACTTAGAAGTTAAATCATGGTGAAAAAAGTTATTTTACCCACTCAGAACATAGACTATAACCACATTTACAGGAGTTTCATGTCTGGAGTGGATTTTCCCCTTTAAACATGTTATGGCTGACTACACACTTTCGTATGGACTGAAAGATCGACTTCTCAGGGACAATTTCATTAGGCATTGCCAAGGAAGCCACCCTCTGCCATAAAATATTGGATGTATTGTTTAATACTTTTTGTACACACTGAAATACAACCGACTACAATTGACTTTGGGCTTTAGACTGGAGAAGTTGAGACGACATTGAGAGCAGTGGGAGGCTGTAGTACCTGGTGCTGGCGCAGGAGCCCGTGGTCTTCTGGCGTGTGCTCCGCCGAAAGCTGGGGAGCTCTGCTGGAGGAGACTCGCTGCGCTTCTTAGTGGACTTCCTCAAACCTGATGAGGCACGAGGAGCCAATGAGTAAACAGTCAAGGCAAAAGACAGCACAAACCACAGTGATAGTAGACCCCTAGATATTAGATTGCTCTATCATGATAACCAGTTCATCCATTTCCATAACTTAAGAGGAATTGTATGTTTGCAAATGATTGAGCTACACCTTTCTATTATGTTGGTTTAGTCTACAACCATTAATCAAATGGTGGTTTAAATATTCCACCTAATCCGAACCGTTTGGGCAGTGATAACCAGTGTTTTTCCAGTAGAAAACCTAAAGTTTTTTTGTTTGTTTTTTACCCCAACCCTGGTTAACTGATGCCAGTCACCTTGGCTAAGTACAGTAGTAGTTAGTGGTTGACAAGTGGCATAACGGTCAAGAGCAAGGACTGGTTCAGAGGGGGCCAGCACCAGTCACTCATAACAGTAAGAGCCACCCAGGGTAGATAGTCACACACTGACAGCTCTGGTGGTTCTCAGTGGAGAGCCCAGTGCCACCGACACTGGTAGAGAGTATAAATAGCCCCTCTCTCACTAGTACAGACCTAGAACAGAACAACCTTCATGCTAAACCTGAGGGTCCCAACACCGAGTGCAAAAATATGACGCCGACTGACCTTTTCCCAACACACATACAATACAGGGTCGGTCAGCAGACAAGTAGTGACAAACGCAACCACACACACCTCACTCATGACCCCCAGTAACCCAACAGAATAATCAAAATGGCAATGTATTGTTGCTACAGCAGAAAGCCTGATGCACGCTATCACAGCCACACCGCGTACCCCACCATGCAATCTGGCTTACTCACCATTATAGCAGCAGAGTCGACAGAGGCTGAGAATAGATGTTGAGAGTGTGTGTGTGTGTGACAGTGTGCACTACAAGTGACAATCTGTGCCCCTTAATAAAAGTGGGTGAATCACTCTCTCTGCTCCCCTCCCTCCTCTCCCCAGTAAGAACCTGATGCCTGCTAGTCGGCCAGCCGGCAGGCAGGGTGGGCCGGTCTAGGTCCTCTCAAAGGGGGCACATGTTTGGAGCTGGGCCCTGTGGCAGCGTGCCCAGCCTCGGTTACCATCTTGGAATCCCCTACCCCAACCCAGAACACACTGACCCACCGCTGAACCACTGATCATCTTCCACTCGCCCGCATGCACTACATTCGTGACACCTCCCCCCTAACCCACCTATGAGCTTTAAACTTAAACTGTATGAGTCTTTGAACATTTGGAGCCGTGCAGTCATTCACTCATCTTCAAAACAAACCACAGCCGCGGTCTGACCTTCATCCTACACTAAAATTCCCATAATGCATCGCTGTGATGTGACCTGTAACCTCAGGGCTGATTGTGTCTGATCTGACAGCAAAAGTATTCTAATGCCTCGGAGCACGTTAGCGAGCCCTTAACACCTACCTAACATCTGAGCGGCTGTAGTGAATCAGTCTGACCTTCACAAATATCAATTTGCGCCACAGTCCAACAGGCTACAGTAGAGCCACCAGACAGATTATTTATATCTTCCAGTTTGAGGCTGGCCTGGTACTGAAACAAGCTGAACTCTGAACCAGTCACCCAGCTCCTAGTGAAGCCAGATATTTGCAGATCTTTAAGGCATAAGCAATATGGTTTACCACTACACTGTTATACTAATCCAGAACCTCCAGATCTGTAAACATTGAAGGGTTAGGGCCAAAGGGAACAAAGAAGCGAATTGGGACCACCTATATCAGTTACACGTGTGTCTGTGGGAGTTTATCTGCAAGGTTCTCTCTATGTGTGTATGTCCATGCATGTTTATCAGCACCGACTGTCTGTGCAGGGTTAATTCCTGCTTGGTGTGTGTGTGTGTGTGTGTGTGTGTGTGTGTGTGTGTCTGGTGTGAGAAGCAGTCACCCCGGCAGCAGCAGGTCCCAGTACAAAGTGTGTTTCTGTAACTGAAGCTGCAACACGGGTCCTGTGACATTTAATCCCTGAGAGTAACCTCTACCACAGCGACCCTCCAAAGGCTGCTACTCACATAACCCTACAACCTTCGAACCTGAAGGTAGCAAACCATTTGATCCTGGCTGGCTGACCATTACAAATATGAGCACCCCAAACCCCCCTTGGATTAAGGGAAATGTGAAACAGTACACACAGGTATGAGAGGGTGGGACAGACGCACTTGCTAGTTTGGCTTGTAGTCCTGAGGGCCCAGGTTTGGAGGTGGTCTCTGTCTTGGAGGAGCCGGGTAGGGACAGTTTGGGCTTTGGCAGGTTGACTTTGGGACTGAAGCGGGCCGCCCACTCAAACTTGGACGAGACGGCGGCTTTGGCCTGCTCCTTGTCGCGGGTGCTTCGGCGTGGGGAGGGGCTGGAGGCGGAGCGGGAGCGACGTGCCTTGTTCTGGTCTTTGCCCTGCTTGAGCCTGGCGCCCTGTGTGGCGGTGGCACTGTTGGCGCTGGTGGAGGAGGAGGACGAGGTGGAGGCAGAAGAGGAGGAGTCAGTCACGGTGCTACACCCAGCTTTGGCTGAGGCGGCCGACTTCGACGCCAGCTTGGTGGGTTTTGCAGATCTGCCGTCGGTACGGTTGGGGAAGGACCCAGCAGTGCTGCTCAGACCGGGGAGGGAGTCAGCCTTCTTCCGTTTCTGGGTCGGTGAGGCCCCAGAGGCCCCGCTTTTCTTGCTCTGGATGCGGCCTGTGGGCGCGGGTGGCTCTGGAGCCAGGGGTCTCTTCTTGGAGGATTTGGCAAGGCCTTTCTTGGCCTCAGTGGTATGGTCTCTGGGTGGGGGGTGGGATTTGGACTTCTTGGCTGGGGTGGGGGTGTTGTTGAGGTCAGGTGCAGAACTTCTCTTCAACCCTCGGGTGGTACCTTCACTCTTGGATTGGTGGCCTGTTGGCTCTCGCTCTGATGTCCCTGCGGCCTCTGGGTCTTCTTGCAGCACAAATGAAGCCACAGACAGTGACAGACTGCTGCTGCTGCTGGAGGAGAGGAGAAAGGGATAACCTTTTAGCACAGTTTCCAAACAGGAAAGACAGAGATCAAGTACAATGCTTCCATTCAGTTAATTTAGGCTTACAGTGAATAGCCAAGGGCGCAATAGATTGAAAACAAACAATAGTTAATACATTTTTATCCAATCACGATAGTCGATTGTCAAAAGCAGACCCCACAAACACAGTGAGTGCTAAGGAGCGAGGGGTACCTTCTTGAGCTGTGCCCTCTGGACTGGCCAGAGGCTGAGCTGGGTGCGGCTTTGGAAGCCTTAGATTTAGGTCTTCTACTTTCAGGAGGGGAATTTGCTTTATGTTTTACCTGCTCTGACTGCAACCTGTAAGGTTGGGAATTAAAGAGCAAGTGACAGTGTGGGTTTTGCGTAATCACTCTATATCATGAATAAAATACTTCAAGTCATTCCCCTATCATTGTTCACCCATCCTGTACTACTCCAAGGAATGCCTCTGGAGAACACCATGCAAAAACAATCTAAATGTACTTGTACTGATAGATTAATATAAAATAACCCCCACACAATGCTTTTCCTTTAACTTAACACATTGGAAAGGCTTCTGACATTTTAAAAACATTAGAATGAACGTCATCAGCTCCAGCTCTGATAGGGTTTAGGACCTTATTAAAATTATAATCAATGGTGAACATGAATAATTGTAGCCATTTTTAGAAAAGTTCTGCAAGTAGAGAAAACTACACAGTAGACAACAGCTTCAAGCATGCCCTTACATGTTCAAAACCGACAAAGACACAAACAGGTGAGCACACAGATATTAGGGGTGCTGGGGGACATACCTTCCTGCGACTGTATGGGCTTGTGGCTGGGCCGCAGCAGTGTTCCTCTGTGAACGGCGCAGTGACCCCCCTGGATTGGAATTAGGCCGGTTGGACATTGGCACCTCTCTCCTGAAGGGACATACCCTTTCTAGACACTACCATTCACTAGACCGAGAAGAGAGTAAAGAAAAACATCAGATCATGGGTGAGACATCAGGGTGTGTCCTTGTGAGTGACATGTTCCCAAACAAAGGAAAATCCAATGGACAGATGTGTTGGTGGTGGCTGTTTATGTCATCAATGCTGCCGTTTGACTCAAATAATTAGCCGCTCAACCCCATTCTAAATGATCACTCTCAGGACCATGTTGGCTGCATTTATACAGACAGCCCAATTCTGACCTTTTTTTCTTCCACTCATTTTGGAACATTCAGATCAGCTCAGAAAAAGATCTGATGTGATTGGTCAAAAGACCAATTAGTGGAAAAAAGATCAGAATTGGGGTGCCTGTGTAAACGCAGCCCTGGTAAATTATCACGAAAATGTACATCTGATGATACAAGCCCCTGCCGAATAAAACAGATCAATCATATTACTCACATTACCATTTGTTTGTAGGCAGCACAGGGCAGCACGCATGATCAATGAGCCTCAGCCAAACTCATCACATGGCAACATACACCTCTAAATCTGTCAGCCCAATCGATTGATCCAATCAGAGAGACAATGACAGGCCCAAAATGATTGTCCACAAACTTAAAACAAAGAGGCAGATAGATTTAAAATTGCAAGATCACATAAGAAAAAACATCTAGGCTAAGTTTCATCATGGGCACATGAAAACATAGACCTACACTGAACAAAAATCTATGACTGTGCACTAAATTTGTTTATATCCCTGTTAGTGAGCATTTTATCCTTTGTCAAGATAATCCATCCACCCGACAGGTGTGGTATATCAAGAAGCTGATTAAAACGGCATGATCATTACACAGATGCACCTTGTGCTGGGGACAATAAAAGGCCACTATTTCAGTCTATAATAACGCCTTTGTGGGGAAAAACTCATTCTGATTGGCTGGGCTTGGCCTGGCTCCCAAGTGGGTGGGCCTATGACCTCCCAGACCACCCATGGCTGCGCCCCTGCAAGTCATCGATTAGGGCCTAATGAATGTATTTCAATTGACTGATTTCCTTATATGAACTGTAACTCAGGAAAATCTTTTAAATTGTTGCATGTTGCGTATATATTTTTGTTCAGTATAGATTAGAACGGCCATGCCGAGAAGAGAGAACAGCCACCAAGTGTCCTTAGTCTACATCATCTCCAGTTCACTGGGGGTCACCCATTACTAAGAGTCTGCGGGTACGCTTGTCATAGCCAATCAATCACTGGAGGAAGCATACAGAAAGTCTTCGGTGCACCAACTCAGACGGGGTGTACCATGCACCACCAGCCACCATTTGCTTTTTTTTTTTAGGGGGTAGATAATAATATGCCATTTAGCAGACGCTTTTATCCAAAGCGACTTACAGTCATGCGTGCATACATTTTTTTGTGTATGGTTGGTCCCAGGGATCGAACCCACTACCCTGGCGTTACAAGCGCCGTGCTCTACCAGCTGAGCTACAGAGGACCACGATCAGCTTTAATATTGCAGATAGATTGTAACTTCCATCAATGTAATTGTCTGCATCACTTCCAATCCCCCGTATGTTTATTTTCTTCTCTTACATACATACATACATACAGTGAGGGAAAAAAGTATTTGAGGGAGCTGAAGGTTCGAGTTGCCAAACGTCAGCCTCGAAACCTTAATGACTTGGAGAAGATCTGCAAAGAGTGGGACAAAATCCCTCCTGAGATGTGTGCAAACCTGGTGGCCAACTACAAGAAACGTCTGAGCTCTGCGATTGCCAACAAGGGTTTTGCCACCAAGTACTAAGTCATGTTTTGCAGAGGGGTCAAATACTTATTTCCCTCATTAAAATGCAAATCAATTTATAACATTTTTGACATGTGTTTTCTGGATTTTGTTGTTGTTATTCTGTCTCTCACTGTTCAAATAAACCTACCATTAAAATGTATAGACTGATGATGTCTTTGTCAGTGGGCAAATGTACAAAATCAGCAGGGGATCAAATACTTTTCCCCCCCCCTCACTGTATATACATACACTGCTCAAAAAATAAAGGGAACACTAAAATAACATCCTAGATCTGAATGAATGTAATAATATTCTTAAATACCTTTTTCTTTACATAGTTGAATGTGCTGACAACAAAATCACACAAAAAGTATCAATGGAAATCAAATTGATCAACCCATGGAGGTCTGGATTTGGAGTCACCCTCAAAATTAAAGTGGAAAACCACACTACAGGCTGATCCAACTTTGATGTAATGTCCTTAAAAACAAGTCAAAATGAGGCTCAGTAGTGTGTGTGTGGCCTCCACGTGCCTGTATGACCTCCCTACAACGCCTGGGCATGCACCTGATGAGGTGGCGGATGGTCTCCTGAGGGATCTCCTCCCAGACCTGGACTAAAGCATCCGCCAACTCCTGGACAGTCTGTGGTGCAACGTGGCGTTGGTGGATGGAGCGAGACATGATGTCCCAGATGTGCTCAATTGGATTCAGGTCTGGGGAACGGGTGGGCCAGTCCATAGCATCAATGCCTTCTTCTTGCAGGAACTGCTGACACACTCCAGCCACATGAGGTCTAGCATTGTCTTGCATTAGGAGGAACCCAGGGCCAACCGCACCAGCATATGGTCTCACAAGGGGTCTGAGGATCTCATCTCGGTACCTAATGGCAGTCAGGCTACCTCTGGCGAGCACATGGAGGGCTGTGCGGCCCCCCAAAGAAATGCCACCCCACACCATGACTGACCCATCGCCAAACCGGTCATGCTGGAGGATGTTGCAGGCAGCAGAACGTTCTCCACGGCGTCTCCAGACTCGGTCACGTCTGTCACATGTGCTCAGTGTGAACCTGCTTTCATCTGTGAAGAGCACAGGGCGCCAGTGGCACAACCCCCACCTGTGGACGTCGGGCCCTCATACCACCCTCATGGAGTCTGTTTCTGACAGTTTGAGCAGACACATGCACATTTGTGGCCTGCTGGAGGTCATTTTGCAGGGCTCTGGCAGTGCTCCTCCTTGCACAAAGGCGGGTTGTTGCCCTCCAGGGCCTCCTCCACGTCTCCTGATGTACTGGCCTGTCTCCTGGTAGCGCCTCCATGCTCTGGACACTACGCTGACAGACACAGCAAACCTTCTTGCCACAGCTCGCATTGATGTGCCATCCTGGATGAGCTGCACTACCTGAGCCACTTGTGCGGGTTGTAGACTCAGTCTCATGCTACCACTAGAGTGAAAGCACCGCCAGCATTCAAAAGTGACCAAAACATCAGCCAGGAAGCATAGGAACTGAGAAGTGGTCTGTGGTCACCACCTGCAGAACCATTTCTTTATTGGGGGTGTCTTGCTAATTGCCTATAATTTCCACCTGTTGTCTATTCCATTTGCACAACAGCATGTGAAATGTATTGTCAATCAGGGTTGCTTCCTAAGTGGACAGTTTGATTTCACAGAAGTGTGATTGACTTGGAGTTACATTGTGTTGTTTAAGTGTTCCCTTTATTTTTTTGAGCAGTGTATATACACATTTCCTTTAAAAAAATATATTTCCCTTTATTACTTTCCAACCCCACCACCCCTTCCCTAATTGGAGTAAACTAGTGAACAACAATGCTTAGGCCTCTACTTCCAGCTTATACATACTATATACATTTTATGGACAGTCAATTTTACAACTATTTTGTTTGTTTTTACTCCTGAACTTTTTCTACCCTCTCCGATCATTTTCATGATGTCCATCCGGTTTGCTTCTATATGCTATATCTTTCTAACTGTGCTCTTTCACAAAAGCTCTCAACCTATAACCTATATACTTATTATGGACACAGTACGCTTACATTATTAGTTAGCTTGTTGTTATTAGTCACATCCTTCAACTCCATTCAACACCACCCATATTGGATTTATATTTGCCATATATTCTTCAACTGTACTGTGATGTTATAGAAAATATCTGAACCTTTCTATTGTCATTGATTATACAGATTGTAAATAATTTTTTTTTGCTAAAAGTATTATATTATTGTTCGATTGACTAAGACTTTTCAGATCACCCAGTAATGCTATCTGTAGGGTTAGCTCCAGGTAAATATTGCAATCCTTTGGCATTCCTGGACCGGTGTCCAAAATCAAGCTACAAATGGACAGTACCAAAAATGATCTAATGATTCTGTCTCTATGCAGCAAAATCTGCAGAGCTAGGAAGATTGTATCCCCCACAGCAAGAATTGTATATAATAATTTAAATTGAAAAAGTAAGTTTTGAATCCGGCTTCGTTTTGCATATCAGTTCATAAACACTATGCCATGGGATATGTACGTCAAAAATCTCTTCCCAACTATTTTGCAATCTATATGGGACGGCTGTCAATCCTTTGGTCCTTAAATAAAGCTGGTATACTTTTTTATTTATCACAGTTTTCTTTAACCAATTATGTTCTTTAATGCAAGGCCGACAGACAAGTTCCTTACATTTTACCCCTTCCACTTTCCTCTTCGATTTTTGCAGTAAAGCTGAAATTATTTGTTTGTAATTTTGGTTAGAGCAGACATTTCCATATGTTTTAGTTAGCTGCATGTGCAACATACAGTGGGGGGAAAAAAGTATTTAGTCAGCCACCAATTGTGCAAGTTCTCCCACTTAAAAAGATGAGGCCTGTAATTTTCATCATAGGTACACGTCAACTATGACAGACAAATGGAGGAGAAAAAAATCCAGAAAATCACATTGTAGGATTTTTTATGAATTTATTTGCAAATTATGGTGGAAAATAAGTATTTGGTCAATAACAAAAGTTTCTCAATACTTTGTTATATACCCTTTGTTGGCAATGACACAGGTCAAACGTTTTCTGTAAGTCTTCACAAGGTTTTCACACACTGTTGCTGGTATTTTGGCCCATTCCTCCATGCAGATCTCCTCTAGAGCAGTGATGTTTTGGGGCTGTCGCTGGGCAACACGGACTTTCAACTCCCTCCAAAGATTTTCTATGGGGTTGAGATCTGGAGACTGGCTAGGCCACTC